AAAATAAATAGCGATCGTCTGTGCAACCTTATGCAATCTAAATAATATACAAAATTAAAAAAAACAAAGTTATACTCAGTTAAATAAAACCTTACTCTTTCAACTTAATTTGCTTCAAACTCATATTTTCATATAATCCCGTAAATAATTTTTCCAAGGCAAAAGTTTTGTAGTTTATGTTTAAAGTAATTCTCGCAAAACCAGAAAAATTTCCCAAATAAAAATTATACTACATAAATTAATTTCAGGTGTCAGGTGATTCGTTGTCTATCTATTTATATGCACTGAAACTTCGAAAGATAGCAGATCCCGTTAAAGTAGCTTGTGATTTTCGCATGCACGCGTGCACCCCGCGGCTACTTGGATATGATCGCGCGTATTCCTATGTGCAAGTATGTCCTAGGGCTTCCGGAGAGATAAACACGAAAATCCATTGACTTCGCGATAGTGACGACATTGTACAAACACGTGTACTCCATCAGCGAGAACCTAATTTCATAGAAAAGACATATCTAGGCAACATCCATCCCCGTTTCTCTATATATCACAAATAATACATTGAACGTTTCCTTGTTAATTGCTTTTTACTTTATTATTAAAAAACGCAAACCGTGTATATATTGAGGTCACATCCACGCAGAGTATTTGTCGCGTAAAATAAAAAATAAAAGACACGTATCGTAATAATTTTGTTAAATGAGAATACACATGTCAAATATTCAAAGTCAATAAATATACATGTCGCGTGTTTGACATAAAATGTCGCATTTTTGAATGAATCTACATACCGGATATAATAATAATAGTTCTGAGTTGAATAATAATGTACAGCTATTTCGTAATAATTGAAAAACTTTTGTACGCATCGGAAAACCTTTACACATTTCAGATCCTACATTCGCGCAAAATTCGCGTATCCTACATTCGCGCAAAATCACAAATATTTCAAATTCACGGATCGCCGAATTTTTCCCGTAAGTACCATCGGTGCTATTTACTCTCGCATCTCAATATGACGGGTCGAACAAAGAGAGTACTAATGGCGTGTCTGCATTGAAAGCCAACAGCCCGATTCTCGCGATGCGTATAAGTGGCTCGATGAAACCATGTAACGAATCGAGGGAGATGTAATCGCAGATAATCACCACATGCGGGAAGACCTATTTTTGTTTTGTTGTAAACAGCAGGCAGTACAACGCGACAAAAAATCACCTCTCTTTATAAATTTTTTATTTTAAATCTTTTCCAGATTTTTATTTTTTTTCATAAAAGATAAAAATAATAGTTGGCAGACTAACAAAATTTATTTTATATTAACATGTCAACAGCGCATTAAAATTATTATGTATTTATTTATATCAAATAATGTAGCATTTTTTGAACTGAGATACTTTTATTGTTTAGTACGGAGCAATAAAGAACGATCGATTCGCGATTTTGCAGAAATTACGGTCGTATAAATATCGGATATGTCCACCTTCGGAATCGCCAATAAAAGTGTTCATAAACAACTTAATATTTCCGTGCAGTCTCATTGTCAGTCGCGCTCGTTTTATGGCTGTTGCGACAGTTTTCACGTCGATGCGCGCGTTTTCCACGAATATTATCACTGTCATTTGCTATTTGGATTTTCAATATTTTATAGATATTGAACGATATTAAACATGGACTATCGTATTCAGCAATACTCGCGCTGAGTATTAATTTTTAATATTGCACATATCAGTCTCAATTTTTTTTTGTTTTATTTTTGTTTCATACAAAAATTAAATATCTCGTTATGAAAAAAAAAGATACTAAGTATAAAATGTGCCATAAACATATGTGTCAGATTCCCAAAAATACTCAAATATAATAAATATCCGAATGATTAATTATCCAAATACGAATCCGAATGATTAATTATCCAAAATTCTATCTATGAATTCAATTTTTCATGTAATAAATTTAAAAAAATGTGTAATTTATTTCCAATTTTTAATAATTTTTTTTCCACATATTTTGTGGAGTCTAAAGTCTATTATCAGAATATTTAATTAAATAATTTCAATTAGCGAACGTCATTTGTGCATTATCATGTACCTTGTCGTAATGTTAACACAACAGTAACTACAGATTTTGCAAAGGTTGCCTCTGGAAACTGTCTCTTGTTTTGTGGAGGTTCTGATAACTACGAGGAGTACGAGGACCCTTAGTCTCTAACTAATAACTCGTCCATAAACGAGTGGAATCTATGTCCGAGTAAGAAATACGAGACTAAATGTAAAGCGGCTAATAACGAGAAACGATGAAATAAAGCCGTGGAGAACAATGAGCGATAATACTAGTCGTGAATATTATAATATAGGGAATAATTTTATGCCCAGACAATAGCTAATTAAGCAAGACCTACCGATTACAATTTGTCGTGTGGTGAAACCGACTGCCTGGCTTGTAACGTTATAGCGACACACGTCGCTCGCGCTCTCATTATACCGTAAAGGTAAATTAAGCTAACGTCAGAGGGAATACACATATTTAATCATGACTTAAAATAAAATATTACTCAAGATTTAACGTACAATGAAGCAATGTAAAACTTTAAGACTTTACCCAAAGAAAAGTGAAAGTAGATAAAGCTTCACGCAAAATAAAGCTGAAATAAATTTTGTGATTTTTAAGAATAATTACCTCTCAAATAATATAATATTTAAATAAATAATTTTTATTTAGAATATTTAAAATATAGCGGATGATAACTAAGCTCCGTTTGTTTTCCTTCAAAAGTTTTGTTTCTTAAATTCTCATTTTCTGAACAAATCACTCTCATTATAGAGAAATTGTGTTTCTAACAAAGTCTACAGGGCTTCACTTCACGGATTGAAACCAACAACACGTGTCTTCAAGAAAAAAAATACGATGTAAGTATGCGATTTCAAAGAAGCCACTTCACGCTTAAGCAAATAATTAACAAAGCTTATAAACTTAATAGATTTGATGCATGATTACACGGTATTTTGAACGAGCATAGCATATAATAAAAATGAGTGTGATTAAAGTTTTGAAAAATAACAAGAATGTGTGCATGCGTGATTGGAAATTGAAAACGTAAGATAGGGAATATATAAGGACGAGCGTTTGAGAGTGTTTTGCTTCCCCAACGCAATAGCTTTTAAGTCACAGAATTTTACTTGTGTTTCGACGAAAGTTTTCCTTCCGCTCTTGTAGATCCTCGAAATCAACTCTCGTGAAAGTTCGTCGAGAGTTGTGCGGAGCTCAGAGTCAACAAAAGCCACCATCCCTGGGCAACATTGCCCGGTCGAAAAAATTTCGCTTTCAACTAATACTCATCTCCGTAATTACTAGACTTTCTGCCTCGAATCAGGAAGACGAGTACCCGAAAGATGGAAGAATACAAACAGACGCAAAAATCGGAGCTCTTCACGAATAGCAGATATATTAAATATTCGATGAAGAAAAATAGAATGTTGAATAAAAAAAAATTCAGTAAAAGTTCGTTAGAATTAAATGCATAATTATACAGGGTGTTTCATAATGTTCGTGCCAACGCTCGTGTGCGGGTAGAGTGCGATAAACTGAATAAAAAAGTTACCGTTTTGCAATTTTTACAATAATAATTGAGATATTAATTAAAAAGGATTGACGAATAATCACACGTTGCACGCGGCTAAACCACGGGCTGTACACTCTAGGCGTGATAGCAACAAGGATCGCACGGCATCGAAAAATTACAACACGTATTACTCTTGCTCTCGCCTGCGTTGTTATTTTTCGTTGCCGTGCGATCCTCGTTGCGTAGTCACTGCCTAGAGCGTACAGCCCGTGGTTTAGCCGCGTGCAACGTGTGATTATTACGTTCAATCCTTTTTAATTAATATCTCAATTATTATTGCGAAAATTGCAAACGGTAAAGGACTTTTTATTCAGTTTACCGCACTCTACCCGCACACGAGCGTTGGCACGGACATTATGAAACACCCTGTATAATTGTATTACTCCCGATAAAATTTTTATGATTTAAAAAAAAATACACAGACATTTTTGACATTGTACTAATTGCACGATTATAATATATATTAAATATGCATCGTTTCGGAATAACTTCATCCTTTTTATACCTTGCAACGAAGAAGCAAATGGCAATCGATTCTTTATAGCATTAATACGCTCAGTAATTTATAATGGCATAGATACAGAAAAATAGACATTGAGAAAAAGAAGATTCATTGTTTATCAATAAAATTCATAAACTACTTTGTTATTTTTATTGGCAAAACTGTCATCGAAATTCTTTAATTCACAATATTAAATTATTTTATAATTAAGGTTCGAATGAAGTGTTTGGTTTAAAGAAACAAAACAATTTTATTAAAATTTTTTTAAATATATCTTTTCCTCTTGTTATATTCTTCCATTTTTCGATACATTCTGTATATCGAAGGGAAAAATATTATACGACATTGCTCTAAAATTTTATAAGTCAATATTCCTAAATATTTCAGACCCGTTAAGGTTAATGACTTTTATGTTCGTAAATTATGTGAAAAAGGAAAAAAAAACTAGCAATAACGAGATATTATTAGCACGCGATAGTCCTTGGCGATTGATTTCGGTTTTCTTAATCCCCGGATTCCATTTCACGAAGAAACTTTTCTTCTTTCAAAAAAAGATTAATTCTCGATAATCGCGAAAAAAAAGTACATCAACCGGAAAAGTGCAACCAACTGAAAGAACTGAGAATTTTCCATGGTCTAAAATACTTATATAGGTTGAACGATGTAATAACGGATCCTCGAATGACGCAAAATACACAATTATTTATAAATTTTACTAATATCGGTAAATAAATAATCACATTCTACCGGAATTCTTAGATTGTAGAAACGCGACATCATAAAGTCATGTTAATTCGTGAAGGCAAGTCACGAAAGTCGCACAAAATGGTGCTTATCGCGACCATTTGATATAACGAATCTTTTTGAAAAATCGTGACCACTAACCTTCCACTGTCCGCTCAATCGTCAACCCCGCCGACGCCGTGAGGAGGTAGAACAGGGATGCAACCGTCAGCTTGTCGTCATACTAATCGCCCGTCGATGATCATCGCCAGCACCGTGATTAACACTATTGCACACTCACTGAATCGACCCCGTCGCGACATGTCATCGTCGGCTATGCAGCACTCATCCGGCGTTTCCGCGATTCTCGTTCGCGAAAACCGCGTAGAACAAGCACGCGATAGGAACGGGGAAAACGAAAAACGGGCAGGGCTCTAAAGCACGTGCAAATAATCACGAATACGTCGCGGTCATCGCATCGAAACTATAAAGAACATCGCTGACGCGAATACGCGTTTGCACAGATGAAAAAAATATACCTACGATAATTCTACGCTGCTACACGGCGTCGCGCCTTCAAGCGCGCTCCACGGTCGCTACACTAACTGCTGCGATCGTCACTTGAATTTCGAGTCAGCGCGCGTACGCCGGCCAATCAACAGCCGTACTTGCGGGCGAACCACCGCGCAATCGCAATACCGTCATAAAGGTATATTTGCATAAACTTGCAATGCTTATATTGTAAATTTGTTTATGAACAGCACATAAGCATATGCAAGTTTCTATGAATTATTTCATTCCTTTTAAAAGCGCATATCGATAATTCTTTTCAAATAATTTTAAAAAATAATAAATCATGGAATAAATAAAATAGATATTAGTGAATCCTTATTCTAAACACATACAAAACTTAGGTGACAGATGTAACATTTTTAATAAAATAAATATTAATATTTCTAATAAAAATAAATACGAATTTCGTATAGACATTTTAATAGACATAATTAAAAAATACTTTTAACGCTATTTCTTAAATAACATACTTAACTTTTCTAAAAAATACGAGATATTAGAAATTTTCAAACGTATATATACGTACAACAAAAAACATTTATTTCATGTAAAAGATTTAACGAGAAAACCCAAACTCTTATCTTGATCAAATTATTTATAAATTGCTCTTTTCTTCTAAAGTCATTTTAATTAGATTTTGACATATTTAAGAATTAATTTACAAAAAAAGCATGTTAAAAAGATTTACAATTTTATTACAAAAAGTCAATCATTTGTACAAAAAGGTGTACTCGTAATACATCGCTTGTAGTGAATCCAATATTAAACGCTCTTTTTTAAGACACGAGCGGTTAATTGGAATAAAATAGCATGATGCTCTATATAAGGAACACACGAACACACACTGCAACCATTCCCGATTCTGATTCACTTAAAAGCGATGGTAGCTTCACTCTATTTCACAATCACATACTTTGTCCGTATAGGACATATAACAATATTTTCAACACACATTTTAATATCTGCACATTTCTCACATGCAAACTAAGTTGCTAACTATTCGTCATATATTATGCGTATCGTTATTTTGCTAAAAAAATAATAATAAAGAAAAAGATCGACGTGGCACTTTCTCGTAGAGTCATTACATTCTCGCAGAGACAATCAGCAAAAATAGGAAACAAGTACAAACAAGCCTGGCAGAAAAATATGGACAAGTGTGATGATGTATTCTTAAATTTAATTTGAGAAAATTATGAGAACGTAAAAAGAATATCTTATAAAATGTATGACAAATATTATATTTCTTATAAAGCCTTTCGAGCCGAATCGGGAATTCATTTATTAAAATATAAATCCTTATTAACTGCCGGTCCACTAAGAAAAATACGAGACAATTCCAAAAAAAAAAAAAAAATAAGTATATAATACTATGTCTAAGAATTATAAATTTCCTTAATTTGTTTCTATTATCTTTTCTCGTTAATATGTAATATATATATATATATTTTTTTTTTACAAGTTATATCACAAACTTTTTTCTCAATCAACATACATTTAAAATTTTCTAATATTCAAAAATCGAATGACAACAATAAAGTTACTTAACAGACCGGCCGTCAATTTCATTTCGATACAGCGTTCGGTGAATGTTCGGTACTCAGCAAAAACATTAAACAAGACCGGACGCGACTTTTCCGAAGTGTCATTGAAACCACAAAGTCAGACGATGCATTTTTACCATAAGTAGACATCGAGAGAAAACCTAATATCGAATGTTTATCATCCCACCACCGTTTTGCATTTGTACTCTTACGATTTCGCGCGCGTCGTGGCAAACCAACGCGGAAAACTAGCGCATAGTCGACAAAACGATTCGTAGAATTGCCGTTTGTGTTCGCTCGCGAAAATTCTCACGGACGCCTATAGAATTAAGCTAAAACGCATTAAAGTTATAATGAGGTTATGATGAGGTTTGAGCTGCCTGCATTTCCTCCTGTTGTATCTTTCTCCGGTAGTTATCCAGTGTAACTTGTATAGTCTTCTCGGAATAACGGCAGTTTGCAGCCCCGCAGGTACACGTGAAGGACTTGCACTTTATTATCCAGAATTTTTCGCCGTAATCGAAACTGAGGGCAAATAGATTTGAATTAATGAAAAAATAGAAAAACCGTGGAAAACGAAACAAAAGTAATATATAAATACTCTCTGGCTTGATACTAGACCAGAAAATGTAGTAAATGTTTATTAGAAATTGCGTTAAAAGATAAAGAAAGTTCAAATTTTTTTAAGATATTAAAATAAAAGTAATTAGTGACTATTCTCTGTGACTATTCTATCTCCCTAGAAATAAATACAAAAGGACGAGTAAAAACATAAATCGCAAACTGAAAGATTACTTAAGCATTACCATAAATATCTTTATTTAATAAACATAACTATTTTACATCTAACAAACAGAATTGTATTCCTATACTGTTAAGCATGTGTATGGTCGTGACGCAGAATTAAGAGTCACAATGTAGTGTAAAAGAAACTATAACTATGTGCTGTTGATAGAATAAAACGCATACATTAAATAATGAATTAAAAAAGCTGTGTGCAATGTATTCTTGTTAGTATTTAGAGGTGCATTTCACACTGACTTCCGGCGTTTCAGTCGTGTTTTAACATACCCGAGTTCTTCGTCCGCCTCAATGTCGCGATTAGCGAAAAATGCTATCCTAGGAAAGTGCAGATCCTGATGCTCGACAAACACTCGTACTGGCATCAAATTCGGTGCGCACGAATGATTGATGAACCGAGCGATATTCCCATAACGTCTCGCATCTATACAATACGTTTCTCCGTCCTGCGTGCACATAATAATATAAAAATTCTTTATTCACAATTTAGAATCCAGATATTTAGAAGCCTTCTTTATCCAGAAAAGTATGTTCAAAATTTTTAAATAATAAAAAATCTTTATTGCGTGCAAATTATAAAATTTGTAGAGTAAAACAATTTATGAATTAAATTTTATAAAGCAAACTAATTAGGTGGAAAGAGGGATAATGCATATACAGATACTTAAACTATTTTCCGTTTCCAAATAAAAATTGCAAAAAACGTGCAACTTACTCTATTATCCAAATCGAATAAATAAGAGTCATCTTCGCGATGATCAGCTTCGGAGTCTGAGATTATTTCACCCACGTATTCACAAACGTAGGTGCCTTTGGGAATGTGTCGCAAGGTTCGTAAGCCCCATCCCTTGCCCTTTGTGCGAAACAATTGAAACCTCTGTGTTGGCCCGTGCTGAATCACTCGATTGTTGCATGTAACGCGATTACAGTCACAAGCCGGATTACATTCGAACAACATTGGTGGATCTATGGCATAAATATCATATCTCTATGTATCATTCTTAAAAAAAAAAAAGTCCATTTTCATAGAATAAATTCCTATCAATTCGATTAAATTATCCTACTTCTAGAGAGCTCTTAAAAATAGAAATTTTTGTACGTACATACCTGCATAATTGAATTCAGGTATGAGCTTCCCCTCTTCGTCATACCAACACCGCAAACTTATATTCCCGCATAAACATTTTTCGGAGCTACAATTGTCCTCGCAACGACAGGACTGCAACGACGTTATCGTACGATCTACATTGATATTACTAGTAAAGCAATTTTCAGTTACGTAAAGAAAATCAGTCGGCTTATCTTCGGAATCGTGTCCATTAACGCACTGGATAGGATTCGTTTCCTTGCCTCGCGAAATGTCACTGTAAAGAAATAGAGAACAAAATATTACAATGAGAATAAAGCTTCGAGAAAATAAAGTTACTATAGATATCTATAGATTGAAGTTGTAAATTTCGATAAGTTAATAGAAACTGATCTTCTTTATCTATTTTCTTCTTCAAATAATAACTCTGCTATACCCGATAAAATGTTATACCTACTTAGTTAATATTTTCACAGTTTTTTCCCACATATGCTCGGAGAGTTCATTGACCTTTGCGTTTAATCTCAAGGCAGCCATGGTATCGCCATCCGTGCCGCAACAATTCACTGCCGTTTCGCCGGCAGCATTTACCTCTCCTATTTTAGCACCGCGTGCTAGCAGTAGAACGCTAACCGCATATCGGTCTTGTCTAGCTGCTATATGTCTGAAGAAAGGAAATTAATTATTGCCTGACGATTAAAGAGTATCATTTCAAAATATATTCGACCCATATGTGTATTATATATTAATTTATATTAATTTATATATATTGATTTTCAAAAATGACCATTTTCATATCATGTTCATGTACGACACACGTCGCAAGTATGCTTGTTTAATCCAACGGACTGAAAAAGTTTCAAGAATACAATAATGTCATGAATACAAAAAAGATGCAAAACGTACAAAGGAGTATCACCGTGAACATTGACAGCGTTCACATCACATCCCTCATTGAGGAGCATCTCTGTAATCTCAGCACTACCGCTAAAGGCGCTCCAATGCAATGCTATGTTCTGCTCGGCATCGCGTATAAGTGGATCACACTTCTTGTCTAACAGATATCGCGCAACTTGCGCATGACAGAATTCGCATGCCCAAATTAAGCTCGTCCACCCACCGTCGTCCACGGAATCTGCAAATTAGAATATTGGAATTTAAAAAATTTACGAATTTTCTTTAGGGATAAATAAAATGGATCTAAAACGGTTTACAACTTACATATCTCATAAATTAATGTTTGAGAAATATTTTAGAACTTTATTATAGAAGTAATTGTAAAAGAAAAAGCTAAATATCTAAACATAAATTCGACATTACCTACTAACGTTCTCGGCGCTTTACACTCAGTCAGAATAATCTTGCACACTTCTAGATGACCAGACTTGGCCGCCATGTGCAAGGCGGTCATACCATCCTCGCCCTTCAACGTCACGTCGGCTCCTACCCTAATCAAATATCTTACTACGTCGGCTTTACCCTTACTAGCGGCTAGCATCAAGGGCGTCAATTGGTTTCTATCCATAACGTCTATTTGAGCACCAGATTGGACCAGAACATGTACGCACGATAGATGACCTTTAAACGCTGCTATGTGCAGACCGGTACGATGAGCGTAATCTCGGAATGTGTGATTCGCATTATAGCCACATGCTAGAAAATCACAAAGCGTAAGTTACATGAATATAAAAAAAATAGTACACATGTAACATTTTTAATTATTAAATAATACAATTATATTTTTACGAATATATTGAAATATAGAATTTATTATAAATTGTAGAACTAAATAATAAATTTTAATCCATCCTATAATTTAATTTTGAGTAAGATTTATTTAACAGAAGATTTACGACAAATTCCGACCTCAGAAATTTTCAGATTAAAAAATTTAATTGATTTTTTTCCTTTCCCTAATCATCAAGTTTCTGCTTACCTAATACATTCACCAATTTCTCCAGATCCCCGTTCTTCACAGATGTGTAGAGACTCATAATAGTGTAACGCTCCGGTCTCTCGGTGTTGATCGTCGGTTCTGGTATTTTGATATCAGCAGGCTTAATCAACGGACTGGGTGAACGTTCGGCCAGCTTTGCGTTGTCACCCTTGCCAGGTAAAGTCATTTTTGCTGATGGTAACTTGGAGAATTTTTTACGCGTAGGAATGAAAACTGGTCGTCGCATGCCATTCATTGTCACAAGTATATCATATGCGGCAGTTTCGCCACCACAGTGCGGACACACGCCCTTTTTGTTCGGGTAAACCTCGCACTCGCGATGGTACTGATGTCCGTTGGTGCACTGCACAAACCTGCCCTGCGAGCAGAATAGGCCGCAGGATGGACAGCAGTTGTGGCGCAACAGCCGTTCCTTATGCATACGACAAAGGATAATAAAGGGCACACGGGTGCTTGGTCTTCGCATGGCCACATCATTGCTGTCCACTTCATTGCAACAACCTATCACACGGTTATCAATCGAGTCAAGCGCCGTGCAATAAAGTGGTGCCCCGGAACCAGTTATCGTCACGTATAACTGAGATCGCACTTGGCACAGGCACAACATAGACTGAGCATATGTCTAAAATTATTAATAGCGACGATAAGAATCATATTAGCATCGGATTAACAAATAACAGATGGTGACATTTACTTCGCTCATGATCGCCGTGGACTCTGGCTTCGACGCTTGTCCTTCCGCGGGACTTGGACTCGGCGCCATACTCCGACGAGTTCTTTTGCTTGGCATTTCTACATTAAAATTCACATAGAATGTCAACGAAAAATACCGCCTATTAATTTGCTAAAAAACATTAAGTATAAAAAAATAGTTTTTTATGTCAAACTCAGATTTACCAGAAAAAATAAAAAAGTAAAAGGCTAAACAAAGTAAAAAATTTTTTGTTTCGCAAATCAATAAAAAATGTTTCTTTATCTTTTGACCTTTTCTTTTTTCATTTGCTATTATCATAAAAATTTATTTTTAAAAACTTTTACCTTCAGGATAATCATTATTCTTTCCTGCCTCTGCAACAGACGGAGAACTATCTATAAAATAATTCAATAATTTATTAACTTAAACTAGAAAAAATTATATATTGCAGTTGATTGTTAATACACATCAGTGTTGCATATTACCTTCGTAGGTATCCGCTTTTACTATCTTTCGCGCAGATTGCGAGCTTCCGCGCGGACGTCCTCTCTCTCTTCTAGGTCGAGTGGCCGTGGCAGGTTTCAGAAAGGGCTTCTCGACGTCTGCTAGCGGTACGTCGTCGTTGACGGGACTGCCGATGGAGTTACTTAGTTTAGTCAGCGATTCCGAGTTTCTCGTCATCGGCGAGAGCTTCGGCATGCCTTCGAAGTCTGATGAAACATCCTCCGCGACACTGTCATTTATGCTGTTCTCTGACAATGTTGTATTGCGCGAAGAATCCAGTATCACGCTTTCAGATGTGCTAACGTTGCCGTCAGGCAATGTCTCCGACTCCGCACGAACGTCGGACGACTTCTGCTTCGCTTGATCTTTGACTGAGTTCAGCTTCTTCGGCCGACCTGGTTTGCTGTACTTCCTTCTCTTGAACTCTCCAGTGTAATTAGACTTTTCCTTACGGGCCATGGCGCTTTCTAATACGGTACTTTTCAAGGACTCCTTGCAAAGTCTCCTAGCCGATCGTTTGGGACCAGGAGGTTCCTCTTCCTGGACAGTCGAATCGCTGAAAATATTAGAAAACAAATTTATAAACATCATGCACTTATACATCTAACAAATGGCAAGAAAAAATTAAAAAAAAAACCTAAGTGCTCGCAATCTAGGTCGGCCAGCCCTTCTCTTCCTGATGACTGGTGTGGCAGTTTCTTGTTGCTCAGTACCTTCTGCAAGCGGCGCCTCGACATTGTTACTCTCAACTTTATTCTCCGTAGTTTCAGGCTTCTTTTGGACAGGAGGAGGAGATTCCTGCTTATCATCGCGCTTTTCTTCGGTGTCTTCTGCTTTATCCTTATCTACAATCTTTGATTCTGTCTCCGTAGAATCCTCTAGCTTTACCGAAACACCATCAATTTGAACATAATTGGTCAGCAATTCTTGAGTAAGCAGAGTGGCATTAGAGCAGCTGGATATCTTGGTCTTCTTGCCATGATCCGTATTTTCATCAGTAGTTCTAAACGTCAAGACAATCCTGTTTATGCCATTGTCCTTCTTTATAGTCTCTTGCTTGTCTAACATTGCCGAGCTTTCCTCCTCATCTTTATGATTTTGCTCTGGCGCGGGGGAAGGCGTTGTTATGACCTCCTGAGTCGCGGCATCCTCCTCACCGTCGCACTCCTTTTCCCCTTTGGGCGCCTCATCGACAATCTTCAACGGCGACGGCGGCGCTGTCACCTCTTCAGGTCCCGTTTTATCATTATCACCATGCTTTCCTAAGCTCATACCCTTGTTAAACTCATTCGTCATGCTCTCGAGAATCTCGTGGATACTGACATTGTCATCCGCAATACCATTATTGGCGACGGCTGGATGTTTTTCCTTATCGCCGCCGCCAGTCTCTGTCACCGGCGGCGCCCGGCAATCCTCGGCTGTCGCTGCGGCGAGGTCATCATCGCCCGTGGACGGTGCGACGTCGGCCATGCCTATGCGTGCGACTAGCTGGCTGCTACAAATGACGAGCTTGCCGTAGAAAGTAACAACGCGCGCCTACACGTGAGACGGGCCTCATCGTGTCATACCTGCGCTCAGCTACCGGTACATGGGTCCCCCTTTTCTCAGCGAACCTTTGAATATTCTTCTCACAACCCGCCGTCTCTTGCAGACGTTCCTCTTCCGGTTCACCCTTTCCGTACCTTTGCCGCTGCTACTGCGGTCAGTCTCTTTCGGCTCCTCGCCCCACCTGCCACGCCGCTCTCCAGCGTGACGATCGATCTCACCCCGACGACGCTCTTATCGACGAGCATCGACGACGCGGACTCGTCGATCCTTGTCCGTCACCGATGGCGGGACGCCGTTCACCGCCTCTTGTCTCTCACTCTCTCTCTCGCATTCTCTGCACAGAAAGAAAAAATGTAATCACACGCACGCTTCTCTTTACTTTTACCGTCGATTTTCTTTCAACTAACTCGCGCGACAAGTCGACAATTCCTGAGCGGAGCCGCTCGACTAATCAGATCGACGATCCTAGCGCGCTGCGAGGCGCCCTGAGCCAACTGCACTAAAGTTCCCGCAGAAGAACGAGAGAGAGAAGAAAAAACATGGCCGCGCTTACTGTGGCGTGCCCCACGAACGAGCAAGCGAGACCATATTGATTGTTCAGGGACGGCGATCGGGAAGAGCGGCGGCGGAATCGTTCTTTTCGCAATCCTTTGGCTCGTTATCGGCCGGGCTTTAGCCTCAGATTAAATTAACCTTCAACGGCATTTAATTTAACCTTAATTCAGACAGTTTCTCGAGGAATAATCGTATTCTGAAAGGACAAGAAGAGGAAGCACAGCCGTGAACATTACGTAGATTATATTCATCAGATGCTGTTTTGCATAAATATGTTGAAAATATGAGTCCAAAACTGACTTCGGCAAAATAAACCTTCTCTATTTACATCATAAATATGATTGTAATCGAGAAATAGATGAGAAATAGGTCATTAAATTTTATTTGATGCAAACGCCTGTCGTGAATAAAAACGTTATTTACAATTTAAAAAGCCCTATCGCTCTATTATTATTTATTAGAATATTATTATGTAATAATTTTTATGTAAAAATACAAGTTGAAATATATCCAAAATAATTTGCCTCTGAATTAATATTCAGTACCCAAGCTTCAAAATTTTTTCCATTTAAATTTGTAATAATTTGTTACATAACATTATAAAAGTACATATGTTAAATCTCGATTCAACAAATTTCGCGCTTTATTTCTCGTCTTATTTTAATACTATATTTACCTGTGAAAAATATTCTGCTAAAGAAATCGTTCGATTATTCCTAGAAACGCTCGTACATGATAAATACGTTGCTACATAACGGGATAATGTGCATTTTACCGTCGTTACAAAGTTCGGTCATAAAATAACCGGCTACAAAGTTCGATCGACTCACAGGAGTATGCAAATTAACGCAATGGGAAAGCGGAAAATTCATCGGTGTCTAACGCGCATGAACTATAAGAAAAAAACGTTGCTTAGAGATTACGTGGCATGACATGATAAAAATATACACTGCCAGCGACCGATCAACACTAACGCTTAGAAATGACGGTCATTGTGGAAGATAAAAAAAATATATGGCGTCCCGA